AGATTTAGAAATGGAAATTGCTGATTTTCAGGTTAGTTTTCCTTAAACACCAAGGAAATGCCAGTGGAAGGAATGTTGACAACCTTAATGAAACTTGGCAGGCTGGGAAGTTTTATGACCCTGAGACTAGACATTCATAAAGAATAATTTTCTGTCATTTTTCCAATTTCTCTTACAGAAAAACAGGCATCTGTTACATTTTAGGATATTGTTACTTAGAAACTGATTAATCAAATATGCATTATGTCCTGGTCATTACTGCTATCTCAAAGCTCTTTAAGGGTTTTAATATAGCTAGCTGAGTACCAGAGAAGAATAGTATAATCAAATACGGCGACACTTGGCAAGATCTTTCTTAATCATATAGCAAATTCCTTTTATTAAAATACTAAAAACTCATAAACAGAAACTTGTGAAATTTATGCTTTTTGTATTTTTAAGCTGACTTGGGCTAGATTCCTCCAGAAATACTCGAAGATGGGAATTTTCATCCAAGAAGTGTTGTAGAATGTTCTTGGAAACATTGCTTGTGGTGGCAGCAGTGGTACAGTTAGTATAGCTGACTGCTGTTCCTGGGCCTCATGGCTTCCTTTGATTGTAAACATTACAGAGAGTAGATTATAGAAACTCAGGTTGTTTCCACAAACCTCTCTAGCTGTTATGTGGTCTCTGTCATTATTGAGACTCTCCACTCTGAAGAGGAAAAGCTGAGTGGTGTACCACACTATCCACCATGTCTGCAGTCTGAGAAACTGCTCATCACTTGTAGGGCACATGCAGATTCCAGCAGGGGATATAGTAGACAAGAGTCATTAGGTGACTTAATAAAGAAAATGTCCATCCCACAGTAGATTCTCAGAGGATTGAAGATGTACCAGCCTTCTGTCAAGTTGTTATTGTACATACACAATTTATAGACATTCAAAATGCTCCAGAAACAGCTTGTTTACCAGCCACTGGAACTCAGTGTAATCTTTCCCCATTTACATATAATCATGCTGCCGAAGAAATGTTGGTTTATAAAATACCACCCTAAAGGGGGTGTTGCTGGTGTTCACCTTTCTAATGATCTGAAACTCTAAATTCTGACACATTTGGTTTGGAGGATTTTGATAAGTGTCCTTGAACCTTCTTTTGTCAGAGTCATTCGAGCTGGGCATAGTGGTTCGTGCTTATAATTCCAGAACTTGGATAGGCTGAAGGGAGGAGAATTGCCAAGAGTACAAGGCCAGCCTGGACTGAAGAGAAACCATGTCTAAAACACAAAGCAGTCATTTGGCAACAGGCACTGTGCTCCATAAACACATATGCTTCTTCACTTTCAGCAAACCAGGAAGTCTTAAATAAAGTGGAAGTTCAGTATAAGACTCTCCCAGGATGGAGCACAGACATATCTAATGCAAGGACATTTAAGGAGCTCCCTGTCAATGCCCAAAATTATGTTCGGTTTATTGAAGACGAGCTTCAAATACCAGGTAAATACTTTATGAGAAGCTGTCTTTAATTTTTCTGTTACTTTGTGAGGTTTTGGTTGGTTGGTTTTGGTTCCCACCCTGGGACATTTACTCTCGCCATTTCTCTGATTAATAATTCCTGTATGGTTTCTATCCTCACCAGAACATTCTTTTTGTTGGTGTGGTTGTTGTTTTTATCATTTGACCTAAGCTGCTCTTAAAGAGTTGAAATCTTGGGGCTGGAGGGATAGCTCAGCCATTAAAGGCTAGGCTCACAACCAAAAATATAAGAGTTGAAATCTTGGATAAACATTAGGAAATGATAAGAGTATAAAATAGGACATCTTATGTTACTGCTGTATCTCATTACTTTTGCTGTAGTGAAACACCATGTCCAAAGCAACATGGGGAGGCGTGAGTGTATTTGGCCTACTCTTTCATATCACTGTCATTGAAGAAATCCAAGGCAGGAACTCAAACAGAGCAGAAGCCTGTTGGGGAGGAGCTGATGGAGAGGCCATGAGGATTGTTGCTTACTGGCTTGCTCAGCTGTTCAGCTGTTCAGGTGGTTTGGTACCACCTGAAATGGACTGGACCTTCCCCTATCAATCACTGATTAAGAAAATTACTTACAGGTTTGCCTGTAGCCCAATCTTATATAGGCAATTTTTTTTTTCAATTGAGGATCACCCTCCTTTCCAGTGGCTGTTGCTTGTGTTAAATTGACATAAAACTATGCAGCTCATCTCATTAGGAAGAAATTTAAAGTAATAATGAAAAATGAATTGGTTTATTCATGTAGTTCTTGCTCATGGGAGGCCAAGGCAGGAGGGTTTCTGAGAGTGCTAGGTTAGTTAGGGCTATATAATAAAATCCTGTCAAAATACATCAAAAAGCACAAACCAAACAATTAGAAATGGATATAATACATAAAACAAGATGGCCAGGGTTGGGCTTGATGAAGTTATGTCACCTTTCTGTTACATGATTGCTTTGTCCTTTCATCCTTTGGTTTACACTGATGGGAACTAGAGACAAGAAAAAGTAGGTGGGAGGTATTTTCCAAGGTCAACATATTATGCATGTACACTGTCTCTGTTATGTTTTGTTTTTATTCATGACTCATTTCAAACATGGTTCTTGTTTCCAGATTGCTAGGGTCGCTCCCAGCTTGATGTCAGACATAGTGAACATATATGTGAATGGCTTTTAGTCAACAGTTTTTGAAATATAAATAGCTGAGTCTTAATGAACTATATGCAATACCATAAAGGGTTCTCCTGCCAGTATCTTGGGGGAACCCAGTAATTCTACAAATAATTAGAACTGTGAGGCACAGATGACCAGTCATTCCCTGAACTCCCATACTAGCCCACTCCTAAGGCTGCATTGTATAGTTCAAAATTGTCGAGCTATTTCTATACATTCTAATGTAAAATTTACAGCGGATTTTTGAAACTTGCTTATCTTTTCTACTAGGAGCTTTATTAAATTCTTGGACCAAGCTTTTACTGTCATAGTCACTTGGGGGGGCAGTGAAGAAATGGTAAATACTGTATAGTTAAATCAGAAATACTAGGCAGGTTAGTCTGTGCTGTACCTTACTAGAAGAAAATAAGGACAGGTTGCTGACAGAAAGAGCAACACAGAAAAAGTAGAGGATTACCTCTCTTTCTGACATAGAATACAAGTTTTTATTTAAAAAATACTTACAATTCACCTTTATTGATAACATAATTGAGACACTCATAAATTTAAATTATTCTTGAATGGCAATAGTAATTTCTTTGTGATCCAGAAATGAAAACAAGCAAAATTGAGCACACGATGTATTTCTGCATGACACACTTAAAATCATAAAACAAAGACTAAAAATGAAACTAGCTCATCATTTTTTGAAACAATATATGACAAGAAATCTTATAGAAAAAAAACCTGAAGCAGAAATATTTGCAACCAAATTTTCTAATGGCTTAAAAAAAATCAAATCACTTTGTCTAATGATGACGGTGTTTTTGTCGTGTTTAGAATAAAACACAAAAAGTACTCTAACAAAGTATGTAGTTTTTCAGTTTTAAGCAACTTAATATAAAGGATGAAAAATCATGTTTACAATATGCTAAAAGTATTACTTAGAAGAATTCTTTTTAAGACTTACTATTTTATGTGTGCCTGCCTGCATATAATCTATGTGCATCACATACGTGCAGTTCCTACAGAGCCAGAAGGAGGTAGTATGGATCCCCAGGAACAAGAGTTTGAATAGCTGTAAGAAATGATTTTGTGCTAGGAATTAAACCAGGCTCCACTCCCAGAGCAGCAAGTAGTACTTTTGACCACTAAGCCATCTCTCCAACCTCCCATGGAAGAACTACTATCTTGACAGACTACCCCAGAAACCCTTTTCTTTTGATTCTTAAAATGTACCTTAATGGATATCTTCTTAATCCACCTTAAAAGGTTTCTGTTGTATAGTAAATTATCTAACATGATTGTACTACTTCGTTTTTGAGATCAAAGATATTCAGTATTAATTATTTCTGCCTTTAAGAATAATCTTGATTTTAAAAACTCATGTCAATCCTGCATAGTACTGATAAATGACACTGGAGCAAAACCTGATACTTTACTTTTTGAACCTCTACTTTTTAAATACAACAGGACTCTTCTCTCTTCATCCCAAAGCTGAGTGTCACAAGGGACTTGATGTTCTTGTCTTTTTGTTTTCCAGTTAAGTGGATTGGTGTAGGTAAATCCAGAGAGTCCATGATTCAGCTCTTCTAAGGATTGCCAGCAGTGCACGAGACACTCCTTGAGAGGGAGGGAAAATACCTAAGCATTTCTCTATATCTGCAAATTCAAGAATAAAGACATTGAATGAGTTTTAAGCTGGCGTTGGTTTGCAGTCTCTGACGATGGCTGGGGGATAGACTGGCGCCCTCCCATCCAGCTTCTCCGCTGGCGTGGCTCCGCCTCTTGCTCCCGCTGCTCCTGGTGCCACACACAGTTCCTTTCCGTGTTTAGTAACTGTGCAATCCCTCTTGTTTGAAATCTAAAACTTCCAGTGTAGTTTTTCTTCATTACTGTCATTGTGTTTGAGTTTTTATCCCAAATAGATGGTGAGAACAATTAATGCAGTTTTGCACAAATATTTTTACATTCTGATCATTCAATTCTGTCATTGTAATCTTTGCTGTTAGGAAAAAAAATGAAAAGATAGGGGTTCTGTCAACTTTTGTAATGCTATTAATTCTGTTTAAATTGTGAACTGCGTATTTTCTGCTGAGACCATTGCAAAATTGAGCTTTGGTTGGGAGGGGGGAGTATGTTCATGGAACTTTTAATTTGTATAGAACACAGAACTTAGTTCTCTCTACAATTATTTAATACAATGAACATTTAATTTAGTGTTCAAAAAGAAGAGATGTTTCCCTACAATAGCAATCTTAATGTTAAAAAATAATTATTAAAAAAATCTTGTGATATTTGGTGGATATTTCTCTTTGCTTTCAGATATGAGCTCAAATGTATATCTTTCCTTTTTTATTTTTATTTTTTAAGTATACTGTTATTTCTAAGAACAGTGGGTTGGTTTTCAACATTGTGCCTGCCGGTATATCTATAAAATGACCCGTAAGTACCCACATGAACCCTAGTTGCCAATTGTCAGCCATAATTTTGATCATGCCTTCATCTCTCCTCCCTTGAAAATAAAGACGTATTATTTAACCCTTAGGCTTCACTTTGTGCTGTAGATTATCCTTCCATAAACTATTAACTTTAAATTAGGTGTCACTTGAAATTATTTTATTATAACCATCAATAGTTGATTAAAAAGAGCCAAATATTTCCAGTATTCTTTGTGTGTTGTTTTTCTTCTGTTCATAGTAATGCTAGTGTGGAGGGAGGATGCCGTGCACGGGGACATGTAGTACCTGGGGACAAAGTGGGCAGAGATCAATAGAATCACTGAAGTATTTTTATTAATACATGGCTCCAGAAAAATCTAAAATGGGAGTAGTTTCGTTAGACTCAATAAATGATAAACTCAGGTGATCCCACCAACCTGCTTTAACCATGTAACAGGAACGAAAAGAGCAGTGCCCATAAATCCTGCTTCTTACCATGGAAACGAAGATCTGTATTCTTGACTATAAGCATTGTATTAGTGAGACATATTTTCAGTAATGAACACATTTTCACTTAAGTCAGGCATTGTGGTGATATTTATGACTTATTAAAGCTTGCCTGAAGATTCAGAAAGCAAAGTCAGTCACAAGCCTTTTAATCCCAGAAGGTGGTGGTACACACCTTTAATTCTAGGACTCAGGATTAAGTAGACAGATCTCTGTAAATTCAAGGCCACCCAGGGATACATGAGATTGAATCAGTGTAACAAGAGAAACAGATCACACGCCTTCATCCCAGCATAGAGGTGTATAAAAGACAGAAGCAGGGTCTTCAGTGTTCAGTAGGAGGCATTCATTCTCCAGCCACGCTGAGGAGAGGCAGCAGGATCAGCTCATTCAGCCTGAGGTAGTGGTAAGAACTAGTGGCCCACTACTTTGCTTCCCTGATCTTAAGCTTGAACTCCAATATCTGTTTCTGGGTCTTTTATTTTTTGTGTTAACAAGGGATTTTTCCTCCAATACCCAAAATATCTCCAGTTGCTGTTATTTACTGATTTTAAATTACTCTGGATAATTTAGTTTCTCTTTGAATGTGAGCTGTCACTTGATCAGGAGAGATGGTCTGTTTTTTAAATAAAGCTGTCATTCAAACCGTTGACAACTTACAGTTGCACTTAACAAGACTGTATGTACCATGTTCTGCTAGGTACTGAATATGTGGTATCAGGGGCCAGTGCAGTCTTACTGAAACTCATGGGTTTAGCAGCATGCTGAACATTGATGAATGATGCTATATTCCCCAAGGAAGCAGTGCATGGTGAAATGAATGGAACCTGATCAAAATGTCTGACAAGGGCCAGAGAAGGCTCTTAAGAGATGCTTAAACATATTAACCAGAAGAATTAGTATGAGGGAAAATGTGCAGGGTTCAGACTAGAAAGAATCTGCAGAGTTGGAAAAACAACCAAATTAGCAAGGGGCTGGTGAGGTTGGCAGTGGGCTGAGGGACGCTCAGCCAAATAACCAGTGTATGTTGATGTGAGAATCCTGTAGGTAGAATGTAATGCCTGTTACAGCTAAGCTGCAGCAGAACTGCTGAATCAGAAAACCCAAGCTAGGGGATAGAGAGATGACTCAGCAGTTTACATCACTTGCTGTCTCCTCAGAGGATTGGAGTTCAGTTTCCACACTGTGTGGCTGCTCATAACTCCAGATCTGGGGGTCTGATGCTGTCTTTTGGCTTCATGGACACTCACATGTGTGTGGTGGGCGTATACATCTTTAAATCTGAATTTTAAAATGTAGACTATTGATTGACTGCAGATGGAGTCACCAAAGTTAAGCTTACCCAACTTTAGCACGAGATACTTGAGCAGGCAAGGTTAATATGCATATTTGGTATTAATCTAATTAGCCATAGGGTTAGGAGGGCAGACGTAAGACAGTTTTGGAAGGATATTGTGGGAGGTTGTGTGTGTTTATTTGAGACAGGGTCTTCCATGGCCCTGGCCTGAAGGTTACCATGTAGCCCAGGCTTACCTTCAGTTGATCTTTGAGGACTCTACTTCCCAGGTCTGTGCTACCATCTGTGGCTCAAGAGGCTCTACCTTTGCTGGTTGTGGTTACACAGCTACTGTATGATTACATATGTGGCCCTATCATGGGAAAAGGTGACATTTTTTAAAGAACCTTAGGGGGGGGCTTGAAAAGCTATTTTAATATAGACCCTTAAAATACTGAGGATGCCACAAGCAAAATTAAGTAGTAAAAAAATGAATAAATCTACAGAAAGTATAGATAGCATGAAACGTGAGAATGCCCAAAGTTCTCCACTAAAGGTAACTTGACAACTGACATTAATGATTTAACAATTTATGATATTGTGGGGTGCATTTTATAAAAATTAATTGACAATAATAACAGGGACAACTGCTATGAGGACCAGAATTTTTGCATGTTATTGATGCTAAATTGCTTTAAATCTGGATTTAGGACATGGATTTGTACTTTGTATGGTAATCATTTAAGTCTGAAGCCAAGCAGTGGTGGCACATGCCTTTAATCTCACACTGGGGAGGCAGAGGCAGGTGGATATCTGCGTTCAAGTCCAGCATGGTCTACAGAGCGAGTTCCAGGACAGCCAAGGTTACATAGAGAAACCTTGTCTTGAAAAAAAAAAAAAGATAAACAAGAACCAAGAAACAATTATTAATATAGGACATGAAAAAGGCAAACTTTAAACTGAAGTGGTGGAAATTGTTGGCAATCTATGTGTAGGGATTAAATATAATTTGAAGGCAAGGATGGCTAAAAAATTGGAAAACAGACTTCCTTGTCTAAGTGTACTTTTAGCTAAAAGAAGCACCTAGCTGTTGAAGAGACTGCTGGGGTGTTGGAGTGCCGCGTCAGCTAAGCAGCCTGTGTCCGAGAATGTGCGGAGGGTGTTGGGGATTGACAACACAGAGACTCGTTCAACTGTGTAAAGAAAACTTTAAGCAGGCCTCAAAAAGGCTCAAGAAAACTTCCCAAGAAAGGCCTCCCTCCAGAAAGGCTTCTGTTCTCTCTCTACCCCTGGCTGGTTCTGCTCTGACACCAGAAACTGATTTGGATGTGTCAGAAGAGGCGGTTAGTCTTTGGACAAGGTCGAGGTCAGGGTGGTTCCTGTGGGCCAGCCCTTTTCAGGAACTTGTTGCCCGGGGCACTGTATTGTTTTTAGTAAACATGTTTTTAGTAAACATTGTCTTACAGCTGCCTACTCCCAGGCTGATGGGGAAGTGGGTCTCTGCTCAAGGTCTGGTGTCCCCACTTGCATGGGATGCTCAAGGCCCGGTTCCGCCCTTAGTACTGTCTGTGTGAAGGAGACCTTGACGTCACCAAAAGACCCAGCTCATCACCCAAAGTGTGCTGTTGTTATTTCTCCTAGCTCCCCCCAGGGTTCATGTGGGTTCTGGAGGAACCTTTTTGGGACTGGCTGATTCCAGATCTGAAGGGGCATTGCAGAGCTTACAGAGATCGGGATCTGTGGTGGTGTGGGTCAGCATTGTGTCTCTTGGCTCTGAACCTGTATGCCATTCTTTCACTTCCAGAAGGAATAAAGAGAATAATACTTAGCATTTGCAAGAATCCCATTTTGATGCTATGAGCTGAGGACTAGTTGGTGGGAGAGGCTGCCTGGAAGACATTAGCACTGCTTCTGCCGAAGGAAAGAAATAGTAAGTCCAAAGCATAAGTACCCCTGGGGGATTAGAAGTGTCACTACCACATTAAGATAAAAGACAGTGGCTCCCCGTTGTAGGTTTTTGGAGAAGGACGGGATTGTGGCAAGCTTACTTGGTGACACCCCAGTTGCAGCTCATGTGCCACATATGACCCATTGCTTAAGTAAATTCACACATCGCTTGCTAGATGGCAGCTTTTGGTGTGAAAAATTGCTCCCCATCCCTGTTTTTAAAGGCCTTCACTTTCCTACCATAGGGATGTCTTGACTTTGGCCCAATATCATCATTTGCCTTGGAAGGACTCTTTTTTTTTTTTTTTTTGGACAGGTTTTCTGAAAAAAAAAAAAAAAAAACCAGCCCTGGCTGTCCTGGAACTTGTTTTGTAGACCAGGCTGGCCTTGAATTCAAAGAGATCCACCTGCTTTCACATCCTGAGTGCGGGGACTAAAGGTGTGTCCCACCACTGTCTGGTGCCTTGGAAGGGTATTGATCACTGCTACACTGATCCTTTATATTGGTGGGATTGTGCTGGTTCGTCCTCCTAAGCAAGAAGTAACAACCACTTGAAGTTCAGTGCTAATGCATTTGTACATCAGAGAGTAATCAACTAAAGTGCAGGGGCCATCTGTCTCAGTGAAATGTCCTAGAGTACAGTGGTATAGACTATATACCCTTTGGACTGGCGAGATGACTGTCAAGAGTTCTTGGGCAGTCTTTGTAACCATGTAGAAGTAGGAGAGAACTGATTCCACAAAGTTGTCCTCTGACCTCCATGCATGTGCTATGCACACAGCATACACGCCCCATGTACATGTATACACAATAAAAAATAATAAAACACAATAAAAATTTTAATGAAACTAAAAAAAAAGAGTTCTCCTAAAGGAAAGGTTAGGTTGTGACATCTGGCCTTGTCCACAAGCAGAACAGAAGTAGCATGCCTACTGGGTCTCTGTATTTATATATAACCTATTCCTCATTTGACCAAGCTGCTAGTTTTGCCAAACAATGATTGAAATAAAGGAATCCCAGATTCTTAGACCCAACATACTACCAAAAGCTGACAGTTCTGAGTTGGGCTCATGACAAGAGAATGCTCTACAGTAGGCTCAGGCTGTTCTGTAAGTTGTCCCACCAATCAGGCAACATGATTCAGTGGATTTGTCTGTGACAAACAGGGACAGTGTTTAGAGTCATTGGCAGGCCCAGAGTCACAGAATAGGCCTATGGAACATGGAGCCATGCCCTCTATCTTCTAGATAACTACTTTCCTATTCTCGGAGTTCTTGCCTTGCTGTTGGGCCTCAATAGACCTTAAGCTACCAAGATACCATGCAACTCAAGCTGTCCATCATGAGCTGTTACCTGACACAGAGGTGTAAGTCCTGGTGGGGAATTGCTGGGGAATGTCCTTCTGTATGCTGTGAATATATATGTTTCTATTATTGGTAGATGAATAAAGCTATTTTGGCCAATGGACAGGCAGGGTGTAGCCAGGCAGGAAGTATGGGCGGGGCTGTCAGAAGAGAATGCTGAGAAGAGGAATGCAGAGAGTGAGTCGTGAACCAGACGACATGTAGCTGCCAAGGAAGCAAGAGGCCTGAGCATCACTGGTAAGCAAAGACCGTGTAGAGTTACACAGATGAATAGAAATGGGTTAATAATTGAGAGAGCTAGACAAATAAGATGCCTGAGCCATTGGCCAAAAAGTTTATAATTAATATAAGTCTCTGTGTGTTTATTTGGGACTACACGGCTGCAGGACCAGGCAGGACAGAAGCTTCTTTTTGTCCACAGAAGCTGGCAGACAAGCATGGCAGCTAGAGCAGCAAGCTGAAAACTCCCATCTTGAACTATAGCCATAAGAGAGAAGACTGGGAGTGGTATGTGACTTTTAAACTTTAAACCCTGCTCCCAATGACCTATTTTTTCCAGCAAGGCCACACATTTTAAAGCTACTCAAACAGGGCCACCAAATGGGGACCAAGTATGCAAATGCAGGTGCATTATTTGGACTGCTCGAGGCCTTCAGACTTAGACCAGGACTTCACACACCAGTAACTTCCACGCAAGTTTGAAACTATGGCCTGGGGCTAGAACCTCACAGCTTTGTGGTCTTCCAGCTTGTGGATAATCTGCATATATAACATTCACAGCATTGATTCATATATAATATTCTATTTCTTCAATACAAGGTGTTTCATTAGCTTGCTTTCCTGAAGTCCATTCTATATGGACTGGAGTCTGTTTTATTTTGGCCTTTGTCTTTCTTGTATCAGTTTTCAAATGCCCTGGTGATGCCTAGTTGACCGTGTTAGAAACTAAGTAAGGCACCTGAAACGATATGGAATTCTGTGTTCTTAGAAATTTATTAATGAGTAAGAAGCCAACTGGTGGGTGTTGGGGAGGGTCTTCCAGCAACTAGAATGCAGGATACCTTTCTTTGGGGATATTACTTTTTGGGGGGACCCTTTAACTCTTTTCCTGAAGAGTTGATGCCTAGTTATCAAAGCTTCTTGTTGAGAAGGTTGTTAATCTTGGAAACAGATTTTCATTAATTCCCCTTCTTCACTGGTTTGAAGTCCCACTACAGACCTACAGTTGCCTCCCAGTCTTCTTCCTCTGCTAATTCCTTCTGGTTCTCTCTCTCCCTCCCTCTCCACATTCTTTCTCCTTTCCCTCTTCCCCTTCCTTTCTTCCTCTCTCTACTTGTGTGTGTATGTGTACGTGTAATAATGGCATAATTATAAGCACATAAAGTTACTGTACAGTCTATGATCCCATGTATGAGCTCTCACTAAGAAGGTAGGATAGTTAGAGATTCGTCAGCACCAACAACAAGGTGCTAAAAGCTTATAACAAATTGTGACATTAACATATTTTTTACTTTCCCTTCCATTTGATGTTACAGACAAGGGCTGTACTACAGAGCTAGTCCCTTCAATAGATGTCAAATGTTCTCAAGGTTGAATCTTGATTTCCAGACCAATTTTCCCTGAAGAGAATTTGTTACGCAAAAATTTTTAAGGATTAGATCCATCTGAATACACACTTAAAAATAGTGCTGTTACCATTGTTTTACTCACTAAAAACTGTCCAAAGTTGTTTTCTTGGAATACCACGCTTATGTTTAGTTTTACAAAGTGTTTCTTGCAAAACCACTTCTCTTGTCACAACAGTAGACTTCTGGAACACAAGAGTAGACTTCTGGAACACAAGAGTAGATTTCTGGAACACAACAGTAGACTTCTGGTAGTGAATTCAGTGGTCTAGGGTTTGTTGAAATCGTGCCTAATTTATGTTCCAAACCTGGGATTTAAAACAAATTAGTGACTTGTTTTGGGGACTACGTACTCTAAAATTTTAACACACCATCTTTGTAGCAACTATGTGTAATAAAAAGTAATTTAAAGCATTTAAAGGGACATAATTAAACTATGGGTGCCAGGGAGATGGTCAGTGAGGGAAGGCACTTATGGCCAGGTCTGACAAGTGGGGTTTGGTCCACAGGCTCCAGATGGTGGAAAGAGAGAACCGACTCCCGCCAGTTGTCCTATGACGTCTGCATGCTCAGAGTGTGAACATACTATAACAAATAAGAAGGCAACTAAGAAATTTTTAAAGTAAAATATAGAGAGGAGGACTAAATAAAAGGCTCTTTCTTTAAAATTTCCAGCTAATAGGCATATTATTAGATTATATCAAAATTTAAGAAAAACTCATTTGATTTTTATTTTGATGTCCTCTGAGGACTTGGGTTCCAGCATGAACATTTCTTCCCTACTGGCTCTGGCATTCCTCCAGACTGCAGCTGCCTTTTCTGGAGATAAGAGACCGACAGGTTGTATTTGAACGTTCAGTCCCCAAGCTTCTGCCTCCAGAGTAGCTGGAATTACAGGTTTATATCACCAGCTTTCTGCTTTTCAGTAAAAAAAAGAGGGACTCTTTAAGGAAAACTATCAAGCACTTAGTAGTACAGTTGACACTTGACTGTGACAGAGACAGTATAGCTTTGAGGCCAGTCATGCTGGAGAGCAATATGGTCTGGATATGAATTCTGCCCCTTCCTCCTGGCTGTGTGATTTAGGGTTAGTTCATGACAGGTCTTGGAAACTTGGCTTCCTCTGTTTAAAACTACAGTACTCACCCCAGAGAGATGCCTAAGGACTAAATGTGTGCTTGCCACATTGTGAGACACCCCCCCCACCCCGAGTATGCAAATTTGGGGGAATCTCTCATTTAGAAGGTCTCAGCAATGCACTCAATGGGCCAAAGTTGAAAGCACCAATGATTACGGCGACATGGGTACTGTTTAAGTGGGTGTTATGTGAATACCCAGGACCACCTCTGTCCACCTCAGGACCCGCACATAGGATACGCTACAAGGAGAGTCTAGAATTTCTGGACCATGTTGTTATAGGCATTTAAACTAGAATGAAAAGAAAGGTTCCCTAGCAGAACACCAGGTTGCACTCAAGGTTTTGTTTCCAGTGCTTAGACAGTCAGCTTCCTAGGACAGTGAAGAGTTTTCACCCTTTCAGTCTCAGATGCTAGGAACTAGAAAGGAAGGAAGAAGCTCTGGGCTCCCCGTCTAACTTCTTTCTGATCCCCGATCTGCACACTATTTCTGCCTCCAGTTTCACTGGCCCAGTCATGCCCTTCCAGGTAGTACGCCCCCAGGAGATGCCAGTCTTGCCACACTGGCAAGGTTATTCTCAGCAAGTTGATAGCACTTACCAATCTCATAAAATGGCAGGGAGTAGTGTCTTTGGTAAGTTGTTTCATTATACCATGTGCTCATAGGCCTTGACAGTCTTTCAAAACAAATGTATCGAATGAGCGTTTGCTGGTCTAATTGAGGCTGATACGGAGTTTTGCTCTTGGGTGGAATTGCCAAGTCTATGAAGGGTCTGCATGGAAACAAAAGCAGCTTGCTGAACTACTTTGGAGAATCCGTCCATTTTCTCATGAGCTGCAATCTAGGATCCAGGGCAGTTTTTTAGCTAGACTAAACCCTAGTGCTTCTTGGTGTTCTGTAGAACTTTTGTGACCTGCCCATGCCCCTCCCCAACCATCCTCAAAAGACGAAAGCAAGCAAGAAATCAAAATGTAATGGCCAACACCTTTATCACTCCTGGCAGTGTTCATTTACTGGCATGGCGTGCTTGAGGCATGGACATAAGTATACTAGGTGGCATGTACCTGAGATCTTAAAAATATGTGTGTTTTGTCTCAGCAAGTCTAGCAATTAAAGATGTCAACAAAGACTAAGAATGCTTATCAAGGGACTTCCGTGCTCATAGGAAGAATGGGAACACCTTCATGTTGAAACAAGTAGGGAAGCCCCAAAAGGGGTAGACATGCCTCTCCCACAAAGGTGACATGTAAACTCGAGAGGCACCTCATTGCTTCAGGGTTCTTTTCCCATCTTGGACTGAGATTGGATATAGTCAATATTTTTTAAAAATTCCCCCGAAGGCACTAAATAATGTATGTATGTATGTATGTATGTATGTATGTATGTATGTATGTCTGATCCTAAGAACTATATTCTTTTCTGACTTTATTTTGTTTTAGCTTCTTTTGTAGTACTAAGAATCAAACCCAGGGCCTCACACGTGCTAGGGAAGCACTACCACAGGGCTGCATCCCTAGTCCTTTCTCTTTGACTGGATGCTTATATATGATTGACATTTGCATCTGAAAGCTAATCGGAAGGAAGCACGAGACAATTAGAGCAATGGACCATGGGCCACCCTCTGGTAGGCAGACCAGCATTTGGGCATGAGCCCTATAGGATGGGATGATAGGGATGGGGTGGGGTGTTGGGTTCTGTCTAGTTCTGACAGTGGGCACCTGTCATTTCTTCTTACTTGTTTTCTAGTGGCAGACTTAGCTCTAAGAAAAGTGTATTAAGTCATACATAGTGACTTAGTATATTTACAGTGATTTCAAAGGCTATGGCAGAAAGGCACCAGAGCTCAGCTTGGATTTGAGACCAGCCTGGGTAGCATAATGAGAACTTTCCCCCCAAATCTTGTAAACAAAAGCAAATACTTGATTTAGTACTAAGAGCCTTGAACTGGAACTCAGAAACTATGGGTTAAAATTTAAACCTAACATGTACAGTAACTGTGGGACTTTAGTTGAGACATGTTACTTGAGCCATCGAGATGGCTCATCCAGTAAAGGCTGGCGACCTGAGTTTGATCCTTGGCTCCCACACAGTGGAAGGAGAAAACCAATTCTGAAAATTGTCCCCTGACCTCCACATGTGCACTGGCATGAGCATGCTGGCCCACAATAAATAAATTCAAGAGCTAGAGATGTGTTCTTCCTCTGCTGTGTTCCTACCCAGATCGGGATGACCTCAAAGCCACTTCCAGTTTCATAATTTACATATAAACTATACACTGCTCTAAGTATACGTAGCCTGCCAACTCCCGCCCCTGCATGAGGGTGATTGGCTAGATGAAAGTTAACTAAGAGAAGGGAAATTGAAATAGATAGCAGATGATGAACTCGCATGGCAATAGTCATGCTGAGGGCTTAATATGCTTTAGAATTTTGCAACAGTTCTTTTATTTGGGAGTGACATACTCAGAGAAGGTGAAAATTGCCCCAAATCAAGTTTCCCAAATTGACACTTTTACCTCCTGGAATTCTTAGCCTCTCTGAACCAGGAAATAAGGTCAACATGTCTATTGCTTGTGTGTGTGTGTGTGTGTGTGTGTGTGTGTGTGTGTGTGTAAGCCTCATATAGAAAGGAAGGAACCATAAAGTTTACTGAGAATGAAACTGAATCCCAGTTAAGTTTTAAGTTATTTGGCCAATCTGGAATTCTAAACTCACAATGTTTTCTTAAATTCCATAGATGTATTAATAAAAATTCTGTGTTTACTGCTGATATTGGAAGCAGTATATTCTTTTTTTGAGAAGATCTGTGAACTAGAGAAAAGAGTAAAAGAATACAAAGTACTAATAATATTGCCACTTGTGAAAATGAAAACAAAGTCAGATATTGTCAGTGTAGAGCTGTAGCTCCCTGATGGACTCATGCCTAACATACTTGAGACTTTGGGTTTGATTTCAGCACCCAAAGGTCTCTCAGGAAACCCAAGCCAAGAAGTCCCAACATTTTTCATATTTTGGCATATTTCCTCCCACCTCTCTTCTGGCCATTAGGTATCACTTGTGATTAACATTACTATTATTGTTACTGTTAAGATCGTGTACTATGGACTGGAGAGGTGGCTGAGCTCTTACAGAGAAACCTGAGTTCGGTTCCCAGCACCCACATGGGGCAGCTCACTTCAGACCTGCATGGGTACTTACATTCAGGTACACATACCCACATGTACACACATACACACAAGGAAAATTTAAAAAATCTTTTAAGGTTATTCAGTCTACTTTCCTCTACTTATCATTTTAGCTTCGATGACATTCTTGGAAATTAAGATTTAGGGGTATGTCTCACCTTGGAGCCCTCTTCACGCTGTTATCAAAATGGAGTCTTGCCAGTTGCCCAGGGTAATAGCCTTTGATGTCCTTTCCTTGGTGAGTGATAAATATACTGGAGGAAACAGACAGGAAGCAGTCATGACAGTCAGTCCTTTACAAGTGTAGCAGCTGGTGTGTGATAGGTAATTTATCTGGACTTTGTGCCCTATTCCAAGCAACTGAAACCAGTCAGATTTTCTCATTGTGTTGGTTGTTAGTCATAAGTGTCGTCTGTGCTCATTTGCTGCTGCCCACTGCAGGAAGCCATCTGCCTGACCAGGACTGAGAGCTGCACTAACCCTGGGGATAAACTTCTCAGTAAGTGCTTTTAGCTCTCCCATCAAAAGGAAATGAAGAGCGGGGCCCATCAAGATGTCTCAGTCTTAAGGCACTTGCCTCTAAGCCTGACGACCTGAGTTTAACCCCTGTAACCCATGGAAGGTGAGCACTGACTCCATAGGAATCCTTCTACTTAACTAATAGTTGATCATATAGGACTGTGATGTCAAGGCATGTGGGTCTTGTAAATCTGGCTTGTGAGAAGGACAGATCTCTATATCCTTGGCTGGCCCTGAACTTATCACCGTCTTCCTGCTTCAGCTCCTCAGAGCTGGGATTACCAGCATATGCCGGCATTTTAGTTGTTTTAAAGCATAACATGAGCCACCCCCATGGGGATAGAGAAGACGTTTGACTGGGGTGTGAGCATGGGATGTGTTTGTACAACTGGAATGCTGTGGTGTTGAAGCCTTGGCCCCCAGAGTGGTGCTACCAGTGAGTGGAAGAACCTTTAGGAGGTGGGGTTCTGGGAGACCTTAGGTCATTGGTAATATTGAGGCAGGAGAATAGGATGGAGAGTGAAGTCCAAAACCCCTTACACAAAAGCTGTAAGATTAGCATATAAAAGAAACCTATTGACAGGGTTGGAGGAAAAGCTGGTATTTAGGGTTTGCGTAGGCTAAAAGAACTCTCTAGAGAAGGGAAATCACATAAGCCAAGATTTAGTCATAGTTAAGAGTGGAGTATGTGTGGATGTGTTAGCTTTTTATTACTGTAGTGCATATCAGATAACTCAGTTTAAAAACAGGAACAGTTATGTGCCTCATGGTTTCAGGCTGTGTCCAGTTAATTGGTCCTGTTGCTTTGGTCACACAGCATATCACGGCAGGAGTGCAATCTTCTAGAAAGTTCCTCTGTAGCACTACTGGCAGGAGACCAGGCCTTCAACATACTGACCTTTGGGGACCACTGAAGATCTGAATGATTGCTGGGTCAGGGTAGGTCTGCTGTTTAATGTGGGTCAAGGCACGTTCTGGGCAGGGCAGGCTCTGTCTGTCTGTGCATACAGGCCTCAGAGAGCTCTAATTTTCTGAGTAACCACAGGGTGTCTGGGCCTGTCTAGTGGCTAGGATAGTGGGCCGAGGCCTGAGTTACAGCGGGGGATTAAGTCATAAGAGGAAAGAAGTTGGCACAGAAATAGGGACCAGATGACGATGCTGAGTGAGGGGAGGTGGAGGTTTCCCTGAGGCAAGCCTCCTCCAGCTCTGGTGCAGGAGTCCCCTAGAGCTAAGCAAAGCCTGCTGGGGCATAGACGTTCACCCCGCTCCAATGATTGCTTGGAGAATGGAACCTTCTGCTGGCCTCCAGTAGTGTGACCCGCTGCAGTACCTTGAAGAGACCCCTGGCTGGTTGGGCAGAGGTGCAGAGAGTAAGAAGAGTTCTTCGGGGAGAGCAGGCCAAGTGAAGTGAGGTTTGCTTCCATCTCTTCGCCTTTCTGAGTGTCCTGCTCTCTCTCCCCTCTCCCACGTTGCCGGCGCTGCTGTTGAACCCGGGACTTCATACATGTTAAACAGGTGTTCTATTGCTGAGTCACAGCTCCCTTTTATTTTTATTTTGAAATACGGTCTCTCTGGGCAGTGGTGGTGCACGCCTTTAATCCTAGCACTTGGGAGGCAGAGGCAGGCGGATCTCTGTGAGTTTGAGGCCAGCCTGGTCTACAGAGTGAGTTCCAGGACAGTTAGGGTTACACAGAGAAACCCTGCCTCGAAAAACAAGGAACAAAACAAATCAAAAAAGAAATTGGGTTTCTCTGCGTTGTCCATGCTGACTCTAAACTCATGATCCTCCTGCCTCTGCCTCTTGAATGCTTGGGTTATAGGTATTCTCCATCATGCCCTCTGACTCGGGGATTTTTCCAGGTTCTCATATGTGACCTTAACCCGGAACCTGAGAATGCTTCTAATTTAGTCATTAAAGTAGTGAGGGTTTTTTTGTTGGTTGACTGGTTGGGTTGTTTGTTTGTTGTTTTTAGTATAAGGAGAAATGCACTGGCTTGGCCAGAGGCTTTGCCGTAGAGCCCAGCTTCTCTTGGAGCTTGAGGGAGAGGATGGATGAATGGGAAGGAATGGCCTGTGCACCAGGTCAGGCTTCTGTTGAGAGGTTACTGATTACTGAGTCAGTCATGGAAAGCTCTCCTAAGGTGGCATGGGTGAGCCAGCTGTTTCTGGTTTCACTGAATTATTTGCATGTCCCTGACAGCTTGACTGTCTGTTTAATCCATACAAGAGTGGATCTGTCCCCTGGGAGGTGACTGTAACCAGAGCAGGATCTGGGCTCAGCCACAGAGACATACAATATGCATGGGTGAGATCAGGAGTGTTTTCTGTCTATACCGTTGCCAGAAGGAATACCATCATGTGCCCATCTGAGTCACCTGTGCTGGGCCTCCAACCTTAAAGATAAGATCCTGTTTAATTCTCAGGCACCTAGCAAGGTAAATATGGTCTCTTTGCTTTTATAACTGTTTCATAACAGTAAAAAGAGGCTTAGAGAGGCTAAACAGACATTCTGAACACCACACAGCTAGTGAATACCAGAGCCATGAAGCAAACTCGGTCCCTAAATTCCATGTCTTAACTCAGAGCCATCTGCAGTGTATGTATGACTTTTGTTTTCAAGAGGAGTTCGGCATTGTTTCTGTTTGGACTATACAATTCTCCCACTTGTAGGCAGTCAGCTAGCAGACCTAATGTACAGAAGAGACAGAGGAAGCTGGTTTGGGTTCAACCGAAGGAGCTGCTAGGAAGCGGGCCATGTGTCTGCTGTGTTCTGATGGCGTGTGCTGATGGTGGGTATTGTACTCTCCCCCAAAGTTCGTCTCTGGGTAAGGAAAGCCATATCTAGACAACATGCTAACAACAGTGGTGAATGCTGTTCAAGAATGTTCAAGAACTGAAGCTTGGGGCTGAGTGTCTCATCTAAGGATGTGAGCTATATAGAAGTTGAGATTAAAACAGGGCTAGGAGGTGACCAGCGCATCCTCTCACCTCCCGGGATGTACTGGCCCCATATTTCCTCAAGGAATGGGAAGGTAGGTTCCATTGCTCCTCAGTAAAATGAGAATATCAACAATAGAACAAGAATAATGCGACATTTGTAGCTGGAGACTGAAAGGTCTCTTCTTTGTTAGATGTTTCTGTCTTTCTAGGTAGAATGAACTGACCCCTCTGTGGTGTCTGCATGTTTTAGAGATGCTACATTGACATCTATCTTTTTTTTTTTTTTTTTTTTTTGGTTTTTACGAGACAGGGTTTCTCTGTATTGTTTTGGAGGCTGTTGGTTCAGCCCGGCCTCGAACTCACAGAAATCCGCTTGCCTCTGCCTCCTGAGTGCTGGGATTAAAGGCGTGCACCACCACCGCCCGGCTTGACATCTAGTCGCTGCTCTATTGCTGTGACCAGACACCATCACCAAGGCAACTTATATAAAGTGTTTAGCTGAGCATGGTGGCGCATGCATTTAATCCTAGCACTTGGGAGGCAGAGGCAGGCGGATCTCTGTGAGTTCGAGACTATAAAAGCTAGTTCCAGGACAGCCTCCAAAGCCACAGAGAAACCCTGCCTTGGAAAAAGGAAAAAAAAAAAAAAGGAAGTGTTTAATTGGGGATTTGATTACTGTTTAAAAGGGTTAGACCATGATCATCATGGCCTCACTCTGTAGACAGGCATAATGCTAGAGCAGTAGCTGAGAGCTTTACATCCTAATCCACAGGCAGGAGGCAGAGAGACACCTCAAAGCCCACTCCTGTTGACACACCTCCTCCAACAAGGCCACGCCTCCTAGTCCCCACAAACAGTTGCACTAACTGGGACTCAAGCTTTCAAATATCTGAGCCTATGGGAACCTTTTTGTTTTGTTTTTGAAGAAGAGTTTCTCTGTCCTGGAACTCACTGTGTAGGCCAGGCTGACCTCAAGCCAGAGATCACCTGCCTCGGCCTCCCAAGTGCTTGGATTAAAGGCGTGTACCACCACTGTCTGGCCCATGGAGGTTATTCTTATTCAAACCACCACATTCTACTCCCTGACCCCTATAGGATTGTGGTCATATCATAAAGCAAAATGCATTTAGCCCAACTTCAAAAGTTCAGGGAGTCTTTCACAGTCTCAACACTATTTTAAATTACAAAGTCCATGTCTCTCTGAGACTCAAGGCAAGCTCTTAACTGTAATTTCCTGTAAAATCAAAAGCAGATCATGTTCTTCCAACTACAATGACACAGACTATACATTACCACCCCAAAAGGGAGAAAATGGAACATAGTAAGGAAATACTGGATCAAAGCAAGACTGAAACTCCAACTTCTGTATCTCTTGTCTGATGTCCAAGGGTTTAGATGAAACTTCATGTATCCCTCTCTCCCTCCAGTTTTGTTGACTGTAGCAAGTTTCTGTTTCTTGGGCTGGCTCCACTTCCTGGGAGCAGCTCTTCTTGGCAGGTATCCCGCCACTCTGGCATGGACAATATCGTGGGGTCTCCAATGTAGTCCAGGCTTTACCTTCTCAATTTCCAGCAATGACCTCTCTGGGCTTCACACAGGGCATCCTCTGTTACACACCTGTCCTCAGTGACTTTTAACCATGGAAGACAATTCCACAGCCCCTCTCTTGTGTCCTTCTTGACTCTAAGTTCTTCTGCTTTCTAGGGCTGAAACTTGGCCTCTCTCCTTGAATTATATTTGCATAAGCTTTGTTGATGGTTTCATTTGATGCTTAAGCTTTTCCTTAATTCCTGAAGCTTGACTGTGTGGGGCCTTGCCATGAGGACATCACTCCCTCTACTAATTATGAATTAGGCCTGTCCTTAAACTTTTTATATCCTTGGGCACAGGACTTGGCTCCTTTTCTCCTCAGACTATATATTTTGTATTTTTCTTTGCCCTACTTGCTGTTTTTTTGTAATTGCAGATCTGCAGAAGGGTGATCATTAATAACCACGTGACACAGTTAGCACTAGGCTGTCTTGAAACCTCCTCTGCTAACACCAATCCAAAACTCTTCAGTTTAGCAAAAATTCTTTGCCAAAATATCACAAGGATGGTCTGAGGCCACTTACTAATATTCTTCCCCTTTGAAGGCTGTTGAGCTGGGTCTCCATAGTTAAAATTGCCCTCAGCACTATTGCCTTCCATGCTCCTACTTGGATGGCTCTTTAAGCCCCCTTAAAGTTTTCAACTGATTTTTTAGTGCAAAGTCCTAAAGTCTTCCATATTCCTTCAAACAACAACATGACCAGGCCTATCACAGCAATACTTCACTCATGATACCGATTTGTGTCCTACAGACACCATGACCGAGACAACGCTAATGAAAGAGAGCATTTAATTGGAGCTTGCTTACAGTTTTAGGGGGTCATCTGATGGGAAGTAGACAGACATGGCATTGAGGCAGTAGATGAGAGCTTTACATCTTGATCCAGAAGCAACAGGCAATGGGAAAGAAAGACTGAGCCTGGTATGGGTTTTTAATCCCCAAAGCCCATGTGACACACCTCCTCCAATAAGACCACACCTCCTAATCCTTCTCAAATAGTTCCACTAACTGGGATTCAAACATCTGGGCCTCTGGGGGGCATTCTCATTCAAGCCACCACAGCATTTGCTTGTTTGTTTGTTTGGTGCTGGGGATTGAATCTGGTGCCTTGTTCATGTCAAGCACGTGTCCTACCTCTGAACAACACCTCCAGTTGCTGTTTGTTGATGCTGTTGTTTATATTATGTATATGGGCGCTTTGCACCTGCATGTGTGTCTGTGTACTATGTGTGTGCGCTGCCCACAGATACAAGCAGAGAGTGTCAGATTCCCTGGGACTGGAGTTATGATGGTTGCAAGGCTGATATAGTCATATGGATGCTGGAAACTAGAGCCAGTAAGCATGGAGTATTCTTAACCACTGAGCCATCTCTCCAACCTCACAACTGATGTTTTAAAAGGGCAATTAAATCTGACACAAACCCTGAGTACTTGATCTCCCACATCACACTGACTTTCCTCCATTTGTGGGCTCTTTTCAGGGATATGTTGGACTCCACAAGCCAACAGAACATCCAGCCCTATTCAGTGAACAACAAGCCTCCGGTCTAGCCTGGGGGATGACACTGGCTAACATTTGTCTCTAATTGAATTCTTCTTGTGAGACTCTTATGTGGCCACTAAGATTATTCCTAAGCCTTAATTACTAACTTTTACTAGGTACCCACACTGGTTTGCAAGTCAGTTTCACAAGTCTAGCCCTCGGGGCTGGGCATGCAGGGATAAGCTGGAGGGATGTGTCGGCAAACAGAAGGGCAGACCCAAGTTCTGTCAGTGGCCAGAGCCAAACCACCAATAAATACTTTTTCTCATTTGTTCTGGTTTACTCAACATCAGTGTGTAGAGGACCTACTCTGCATAGTCACCACCATCGGGCAGAGATTATGGAAGCGATTTTCAGAGATGGCCAAGAAATTCCATGATTGAGTGGGGACTAACCCAAACAGTGCAAACTATAGTGAAGCCATCTCCGCTAGTTGTAACCTGTGGGTTATTGGGTCAGTCACTTATCCACATCGTGCCTCAGCTTCCTTATCTGGAACTCACAATTGTTATGAAGGTTAAATAAAATGATAAGGCTAATGCTGACACTCAGTAAGAGCTTCCTGTTAACTTATTATACTAGTGATGAGATGGGTAGGACATAATAAGACTGGAGGTTGTGTTAAGGGAACTGAAGCTGTGTGAAGTAGGGGACATGGATACAGAGATAGGCAGACGAACTCCCCAGAGCAGCAACAAAACTTTGTTTCCGTTTTTCCTAGGAGATGAGCCTACAGTAGACAAAGTGATCTCACCCACACAGAAGGACCAAGGACTCGGGGAGGAAGGGATGAGTGAATTCAGAACCCAGTCTTGATTTGTCTCCATCCCCTTTCTCTGGGGGTGGAGTTTGGAGAAGTCAGGGTCTGTGTCTTCCTCAGCCCTGGTGGTTTCTGGAGAGCCTTACCTAGGTGGAACCACTGGCCGACGCTCTACGAATTCTCGTAGTCGGATGGCCGTCATGATGGTTGGGAATCTGAAAAGAGTCGTGGAGTGAAATTTCATATTTCAAGTTTACACACATTTCCAGGCATTAGTTATTGCTACAGTTTGGATCCAAACTGCAGACCCTCCCTAGGCAGATGGACCTGGGCTGTGTAAAACGGTGGCTGAACCTTTGGAAGCAAGCCAGTAAGCAGGGTTCCTCTGTGGTTTCTGCTTCAGTTCCCGCCACTAGATTCCTGTCTCAAGTTCCTGCCTTAACTTTCCTCCATGATGGACTGTAGTCTGTAAGCTAAAGAAAGCCTCTCTTTCCCCAAGCTGCTTTTGTTATCACAAATACCAGAAAAGCAAACTAGGTCATTCTGCAAACAGCTTCCTGGTTTTTGTGGCCTCATCTTCCCGCGGGCATCCCACAGGCTTCCTCCAGCCCCACCCAAACCTGGCTGTGTTCCTTTAAAAGTTCTCCCTTCTCAGGATTGAGCTCTTCTCTATTTTCATACTTACTTTAAACCATGTTGTCTCTTGCCTTAGTTTTGTATTACCTTTGATTAGTTATTAGAGAATGGCTTGCCATAGCAAACCAGTACATTAAACATTCATGTGAGCAAGTTCATAATAGGGAGGGAGACTGAGGTAGGAGAGAGGCCTGCTGTTTCTAGAGTACAGTCATGTACTTTATAGACTGCTCACACTGTGATTAGGTTGTCTACATACAGAGAGCAGTGTCTCTAATTTGGACACAGCATCTTGGGGTAGCAGACAAACCTTGGATGGGTACCCCTGTGTCCTGGGCAAGTTATTTCTGAGCTCTGTGTATTGATTATAATACCCCTCTGTAGGGTTCAGCGAGACAGTAATGTGTGTGGGCATGCTCTGCGACTTAGAAAGGAGAAATGCGAGTTTAGTTGTGAGTCTGTATAGTATGTACCAGGCAGCACGCTGTAACTAACAGTGAGGACTGTGACTGTTTTCCTCACAAGAAAACATGCTCAGATGTGAAGTCACGTGCAAGGGAGCCTGGGCTGGAATCCTCAGACTCAACAACCATCCATCTTAATGCCTGAGTTACACCACTACAGCCCAGAGCACCAAGAGACTGTGGCCAAAACAAAACCGGGACTATTCAAAAGGAACTGGGAGGAAAGAGCAGTAATCACGAGGAAGAGAGGGTTGGGGAAAGTATATGTGAGGCCTCCTCTTTTCCTTTTATAGTCAAGTTTAACTCACCCTCGGCTCCTGCCAGCTCTTTTACCTTTCAGTGGACTTTTCAAATCAACTTGAGATTTCTCAATAGCCTTGCATTATAATAATTATGGTGATATGTCCTGAGAATCCTGTTTACTGCATAATACCTCTTTTTCCAAGATACCTGCTTTAAATTTTTAATTAATATTTGCTAACTGTACGTATTAATGAGGTTCAGTGTGCCCTTTCCAATGCATGCAGTATGTGCTGATCAAATCTAACCCATGCACTTTCCACACCCGCCCACCCTCCCCAATCTCTATTCTACTTTCCGGCCAACTTTGGTTCTTTAAGATGGGACATTCGTTCTTATCCTCCTGCATCTGGTGTGGCTCTCTTCACATGCCCCATCCAGCTCTATCCTGTGTGTTGTATGATTCTGCACATCTTTACAGCTGAATAACACCAAAGCATGTTCATCCACTCACCCACCGCTGAGCACCTGTGCTGATGGGGCATCTGTGAACATGGCCTCGATAAACACAGGTGTGCGAGAGTCTCTTCATTCATAGCATTTTTGCCTTTAGCACTGCCATGCTTTCTGTTTTGTTTTTTAATGGAAGAATGAGCAAGAGAAAATTTAGGAAAGCGCAACTGAGCTCTTGAGAAATCAAACTCCAAAAATGGAGTGTTGAGCTTTTTACTTACACGTGTGATATGCTGGCGGGGAAGCCAGGATTTAAGGAAGCCAGCTCTAACACACCGTCCTCTCCTCTTGATGAGTCAAGGCTCAGTGCCTAGAAACTGAATCAGCATTATGGGAAAGAAACCTGTCCTGGCTTGTCTTGCTTTGACCAAATAAACACGTTTGGAACAACATATTAAAGTCTTCCAGTCACTGGGGCCTATGAAGGGAATCTTGAGATCGTGGCCATGTTTTCATCTCTCTCTTTATCCCTAGCCAACTTAAGGCACACAACCTCTTTTTTTAAAAGATTTCTTTTTACTTATGTGTGCTCCTCATGTAGACATGTGTCTGTGGAGGCCAGAAGAGGGTGACAGACCCCTTAGAATTGGAGTTAGAGGTGGGTGCTGGGGACTGAACACAGGTCCCCTGCAAGAGCAGCAAATTCCCTCACCCACTGACCCATTTCCCAGGCAGTCATTCCCAGTTTGACACCAACTGCCCTGAGCAATGAGGCCAGTCTGTCACAGACTGAAACCTCCACAGCTTTGAGTGTCTCAGTCTCTTCTGTTTCAGTGAAGAGACACCATGACCGAGGCATCTCATAAAAGAACTCATGCAATTGGAGACTTGCTTACAGTTTCAGAGGTTTAGTTCGTGACCAGTGCTACAGGAAGCATGGCAGCAGGCAGAGTGGTGTGGTCCGGAAGCGGTAGCTGAGAGCTCACTTGGTCCTCAAAGTGCAGGTAGAGGGAGCCTGAGGCTAGACCTGGTGTGGGCTTTTGACACCACAAAGCCCCCGCCTTGTGACACATCTCCTCCAACAAGGCCACACCTGCTCCAACCAGACCATACCTCCTGCTCCTTCTTAAACAGTTCACCACTGGGGACTAACCTTTCAAGCACATGAGCTTATGGAGGCCATTCTCCTTCAGCCCACCACAGGGAACCAAAGTACAATTCCTACAAGCTGAATATCTCAGGTATTTTGTTATCGCAATGGACAGATGGCTAAGATATCACAAAACACCTTTTAAACTGAAAGCATACTATACTCAGAAAAATAATGCTGTGATATTAAAGGCATCTACCATTATATCTGTTTTTATATTCTATAAAAGCATGTATGAATATATGTATATTTGAAGCTTCATCATCTATTCTCTTGAGTAATCTTTGGTTTTCCTTTGACAATGCCATGAGACAATTTCTACATTGCCACAGTCATCTCAGTTCCAATATTCAGGGTTGCTGGTGAGGCCCACCTATCACCTCACTTACTTATTTAGTGTTAGAAACTGAGCTCAGGGCTCATGCATGCTGAAGTCAGTTCTCATCACCCCATTTAAAACAGGATCCATATTTGCTCCCAGTCCTGCAACTCTTCCTGCTTTCTACTTTGTTTTTCCCCAACACAAGGATGCAGGGGTAGATAAGATAGCCTCAGCAGTCCTGGGCATTCTCCTCAGTATCAGGCACCAGAGAAGTTTTTCCTAATGGAGACATACTTTTTGAAGACTTGGTTTAAAAGTGATTTTAAAACCATCATTGACTTCTATCATGCACAGAAAAGTTAACAAGTAATATTGTTGTCTGGGCCTGGTGGTATAATACCAGCACTTGGGAAATGGATGTGGGAGTTTTGCGGTACAGCAATATCTTGCCTTAGAAAATAGTATTACCAGATCAGATGTTGGGTGCTCTTAGTACAAGGTGGAATTCGTGACAATTACTTGGTAGGTTTAACCAATATATGAATAAGTAATAAATGAATATATGGTACATTATCAGTTAGTCTGTTTGGAGGAGAGGCAGGAGCAGAATATTACAGTCAGCACCCTAAAATTGTTGCTAGTGTTTAATCCACCAAGATTTGTAAATCTCAATGAATAGTCAGTACATTGTGTTTTCATTACGGTAACAACATTGCTGAGGCTAGGCAACTATACAAAGAGAGTAAGTCCATGTATTTAACATTTGTGGCTGTTGAAGCGCGGCACCTCAGAGCTAGACTCTGAGGAAGGAGTCAGTGGAGAGCATGTTTGGATGTAGTCGGTCATCAAAGAGTTTTGCGTTAGAAGGTTCTGGGATTGTGAGGAGGTCACTAGGCATAAGAGGTTAACCCTGGGACTAAGATAGTTCTCCTGCAACTCCTTGAGTTAAGGCAGTTTAAAAATCCTGGTCACTGAGTGCTCTGGGCTCCTGTCTCACTGTGATAGCTTCCTCACACATGTTCTCCACTATGAGTCCTGCTGTATGGAGTGAGTTCCAGGTAGAAGCTAGGACTATACAGAGAAACCTTTCCTAAAAAAACAAAAAGCAACCCCCTATTTAGTAATATAACCACTGAGAGGGTAGAGAGGAGCAAGAAGTAACAGCCTTGCTGGCATTACCGGCTTGGGCAGCAGCGGGCAGGGCCTCCTGGTTCCTCAAAGCAGTCCTCTGAGGGCAGCAAGTGTCTGAGTCACCTCCCTGTGTGGGTCATGCTGCGAAGGCACATGGCAGAGCTGGGAGACTTGATCCCTTGACATCATTCAAAGGGGATTATGATGCACTGTGGGGTGGAAAGTCTTGCAAAGCGAAGCCTTTCAGGCTGAGAGAAAGAGAGTTTTGAAAGTCTAATAGAAGGCATAGCTGCACATGAAACCAAAGGGCAGGAATTGGTGTCAAAGGGAAAAATCATACAGGTAAGTGACCCAGACTATCAAATCACTCGAACTTGCTTTTCTATACACATTGCTCCAAGGGCAGCATAAGGTCAAGGAGTTGGCGCTGTACGTGTCCTTTGCAAGTTGGAGCTGAGAAAGTAAGTAGAGTTGACAGGGGAACAAAGGAACCCAGCCCTGCCTGGTCTAAAACCACACTAGGCTTCAGAAACCTGCTGCTACTAAAGCCATCAGAGGAGGCTTTTAATTGTCCAGGAATATGATCCCGGCCAATCCACAGGCCGTCACAATAGCATGACTGCGCAAACAAAAAAGCAATTCACAGCCTGAGAACAGAATGGCCACAGAGCGGTGGTTCAGACCCGGCTATAGCAAATTTCTAAAACCAAAACAAACACTGGTATTGCCTGCCATAGGTTGGCCTAGAAACAGGGCACTTCTCAATCAAATAAAGTTTGCAAATAGGAAGTGAGATATTTCTACAAGGCTGCAGATGGCATGCAGGGGAAGCCTGGACCAGGCAGTGCTCCCCCTGGGAGCCTAACCCATCAGCACAACAACACAATCCAATGCCAGAGTCTTGGTGACGGGGCATTTTGTTGAAAACAGACAACCATGAAAAATGTAAACATGAGGACAAAACTACATTGGGCCCAGGGGAGCAGAAGTGGTGTGTTGAGGCTCACTTGGAAGAAGAAAGTTCAGTTTTTCAGTTACTGAACACCTAACCATCCCAGTCTCTGCCATGACCTGGAGAGTCAAGCATCCCTATTTAGAATAAGAACTAAGAGAAGCCAAAGAACTTAACCAGAAATCATACAATCGGGGAGTCATGAATCTAAGATCTGAATCCAAAGTAGTTTGGCTTGTGAGTGCAGCTGTAATTTGCATTTTAACTAAAATATATCAGCCTTTCTTTTCCATTACTTGAGACAGGGTCTCATGTATCTCAGGCTGGTCTTAGTCACTATGTATCTGAGGATGACCTTGAACTTGTGTTGACAAGTCTTAGATGTGGGCTGCCTGGAGGTGGGGCCATAACCTCTAACTCTAGTGTTCTTGCCCAGGGAAGTTGTGGATCAGCAAGACCAAAAGACCAATACACACTCAGCAGACGGGATGCAGTGCTGAAGCAGGTCCTCAGTTGCACTGTGCTCTCCTGCACTGGACCCCTCCATCTGGAACTAGAGGCTCCTCCATTTTGGAAGTCAAAGAGGAGGCCCTAAGAGTGGCAGGCAACCAGCCATGGCTTGCTGGCTGAGTTTCCAAAGTTGGTGAATAAAGGGATGTTTGCAGATGACAGTTGTCCCATCCTAGAATGGATTCTGACTAACGAGGCACCAAGACACTACACAGTCCCCCAATATCGGCCTTGATTTAATTAATGATCATAAATATGAATACTAGTCTCTCTGGGTTGAAGATGGTTCATAACTTCATTGTTCCACTGTTTTCCTATATTACTTGAATTGTGAGAATACATGTTGTTAGCAACACCCCTCCCATTTATTTAGTGGGGGAGAGGGTCATGTAGCCTGTATATGGAGGTCAGAGGACATTTTACAGGAGTCCCTGCTCCCTTTTCACCTTTATGTGGGTCCCAGGGATCGAACTCAGGTCTTTGAGCTTGAGCTTGGTGATCAAGTTCATATGAAGAAAGCCCTCACATTGACAGCTGACTTTTCAATAGAAATTTTAAAAAAACCAGAGGGACTTAGAGAGATGTGTTTCCAATACTCAAAACGATCATAACTGCTAACCGTGTCTGTTGCATCCAAGCGCAGCTATGTGTGTGAGCAAGACCTGCATCTGGGCGTTTTGTGCTGTCTGTTGGAGGCTTCAGACTCTGTGGGGGAAGACACAGAGAGAAAATGTGGGATTCAGGTGGTGCTGTGAGTTTGTGATGGTGGCCACACCCCGAATGTATGGTAAAACTGCCTCCTTGGTGACTGCTTCCCCCCTGGCCTCTTTAGAAGACAGAGGGGTCAAGCATCCATCTTGCCTTTGTGGAGCCAAAACCACATGGGTGCTGAGCAGGACAAGGCCACTGACCTTGGGGCAAACCCACTTAAGAGGACTTTCCTGTTCACTTACCTTCACTCATTGTTCCATTGAAAAGTCTCTGGCATTGTCTACAAATCCTTCCTTTACTTTCTACCTAGGAAAAGACAGGAACTCTGATGAAGACCAGGTCATTGTCATGATCATCTTTTTGAGTCTATCAGCCCTGTGTGCCCTCTGGGAAGCAGGACCAGCTAATAGCACAGATGTTACAATACAACCAGAGTGATGTCCTTGTTACTATCAAGATTGTTTCTACACCCCTCACCACCCCCCCACCCCATATCCTACAGGGAGGCAGGCAAGTGTGAATACTTCTCCAGGCCCCTAGGAAGCTCCCAGAATTGGGTCCAGTGTTTGTGATGATCACTTGTACCCTGGCTTCTCCATATGTTGTCACTAAAAAATGGCAAAACCTTATAAATGCCTGAAATAGGACTCTACTTATTGAATAGTTATTAATAGTTATTATTATTACTATTATTATTATTATTGATCTTAAAAATCCAGTTTGGGGGCTAGCAAGATGGTTTAGAGAGTTAAGACACCTGCCACCAAACCTGGTGATCTGAGTCTGATCCTTGGAATCCACATGGTAGAGAGAGAGAACCAACTTCTACAAGTTGTTCTCTGACCTCCACATTTACACACATGTGTGCATTCACACACACACACACACTCATACATAAGTAAATAAAATGCTATTTGTTATGGAAGCAACTGAGCTCTGCACACATACAGTCTCTGGCTTGCTTTTACACCATCAGCCAGGGTAGAGGGCTAAGTGACATCCGTGGGCCATGGCTAAGAACTAGGTCCCCAGCTTAACGTTCTGGGAAGTGGTGGATCTTTAAGGGGTGGGGTTGACAAGGAGGTCCTGCGTCATTGGTAGTGTGCCTGTAAGGAACACAGGGGGCTCTGATCCCTTCTTCTGTTTCACATCCTGGCTCTGATGTGAAAACTTCCATTCCTACTCACTCTTGACCTAATGCCCTGTCGTCTCACTACAGACCCAGAGCAACAGGCCGACTGGCCACAGGCTGAAGCCTCCACACTTCGAGCCGAGATGATCTTTTCCACACTGTAAGTTGGTTATGTCAGACATTTTATCATAGTAACCAGATACTAACTGATACAGTTTTGAACACACCTTTGTGTGACCCTCGGAGTTTCTCTGCTCCTATGGAACATTCTTCAAGCCAGTGGGAAGGCAGGCTGTGGGTCAGAAATGTGAGCTGAGTTTCCGGCTATACTCCCTGACTTGGGATGTGCTTTCTGACCTCCTCTAGTGAACATGAGGGTTGCTGTTCTGTGGAAGCACCCTCCTTCTGTGCTTGCCATTGAAGAGGCTCATGTGATTGCTGAGGAATGTGGAGACACCCCACACACACACACTGGGGAGCGGTGACAGAAGCATTTCTGACTGGAGGTGAAGCAACATGCTAACCGTCCTTTTTCTGTCAGGTTGGACTGCACCCTTTGTCCCAGAGCTGGGTGACTCTGCACTGGCAGGGGAGAGCCGGCTGAAGCTGAAGTTGCCAGAGGAAACCAAACAATTCTTATTTACCAAACTGTCAAAATCCTATCATTGCAATTAAGGAGACGGGCAATTAACTGTGTCTTAATTACAGCAGCTGCCACTTCTTCTGAATGCTGTAATTTATGAAGAGAATGGGAGGAGACTCTAAATTAATGTGTGTCTTTAAACAACGAAAAACATTGATGAGGCCTGAAGGAAATTGTCAGCGGTGGTCTTGGGGCCCCTCCCAGAAGGAGGCATTGTTGGGAGATGCCTCCAAGTGCAGTCTTGATTTCCAGAGCCTTTGTTGCCTAACGGCTGTGTTTTCCATAAATGCCCAGTGACATTGTTACATCCTGTTTTATGTACAATGCAAATTCCTAACAGCAGTATCATCTGTGGCAGCCGTTGTGAGCACCATCGCTGTTTGGTTGCTTTTAGATTTAGCTTTAAAACAAAGAGATTTAAACAATGTGTCCAGACACCCAGGCAGAGGAAGGAGCTTTTCTGTGGAAGCTTGTTAAGAGGTAGATCCACCTCACTACACTTTTTATAGGAGGAAACAGAGAATCAGAGAAACAAGGACCAGGTCACAGCATGAGCTATTCAGTGGCCAAGTTACCTTTAAGCTCAAGTGTGACCCCCAGAGTTTGATTCTCTCCAGGGGCAGACTGCCATTGTGGTGTGTAAGTAAGGGACCCAGACAGGGAGATGGCAGAGCCATGACACTGATGATGGTTAGTAAGCAGCTCTGGGAAATCCTCAGCAGGACTGGGACTCTGTAGCCTAGTAGACCCAGCATGTTGAAGGCCCTGTGTTCAGTCCCCAGCATCAAAGAAACAGGGCTAGGGTTACGGCTCTGCTGGCAGAGTGCTGGTCTACCACCCACAAAGTCCTGGGCTTCATTCCCAGTGCCCTGTAAGCGACTGTGGCGCGTGTCTGAAATCCTAGCCCTTGGGGAATAGAGGCAGGGTGATCAGGAGCTCAAGGTTATCCTTGGCTACATTGTGAGTTCAAGGTCAGGGCTACATGAGACCCGAGAGAGAGTGGGGAGTGGGGAAGAGAGGGAAGGGGAGAGGAAGAGAGAATGGGGACAGAAGGAAGGGAAGGAGGAAGGAAGGAAGGAAAGCAAGAAAGGGGAGCAGGAAGAGGGGAGAAAGGAAGGGAGGGGGCTGACATAGGGCAGGAAAGGTAACTGGAAGCTGGGACCCAGACTGAGCGGCGAACTCGTGAATAGTTCCAGTCCCTGGGAGGCCTGGAGGACTTGGTGCTACCAAAGCTCTCAGGTTGGACTGAGCAGGCTTCAAACCTGCCCTTTTCCAGCCAGGTGACCTTGAGCAATGTCCTTGTCTCTGAACCAAAGGAGCATGTGGCCTTTCACCTGAATGTTGGGAGATTGCATCAACCTTTCCCAACTGCTGGAGAGATGAAGGACAACATGGCCCAGGTCCTAGCCCGGTGACTGGCACGGGAGAGGCACAGATGTATGCCAACACACTTCTTCTTTCCTGGACGGTGACTAAGGCCCTCCCATACCAAGGGGTAGAGGTGCTGGTGACTCAGATGCTGGTGCTTTTGACAAGAGCTAAGTACATGTTAGGAGACGACAGGGTGGGAACCAGTTATCGTCATGAAGGACCAGACCAATGCTGGACCACTGAAACCATAGAATCGGTGCTGAGTTCTGCAGAAACTGGCTTTTGAGGATGTCTAAAATAAACTCCAGGAGTTGTGTGAGAGACTAAATAGCCCAGATGCATGGAGAGAAGGGATGCTTTGCTATGGAGCTGGGATGGCTCCACTCCCAGGATGCTGTAGAGCTGAGCGGTCATCCTGGAGCACGCTCTGTAGACCAGGCTGGCCTCAAACTCAGAGATCCATCTGCCTCTGCCCCTGCCTACTGAGTGACGGGACTAAAGGCGTGTGCCACGGTGTCAGCCTCCAAAAGCACAACTCTTCCCTCAAAGGGAATAAGAGAATTTATTCTGAAGCCAAATATGAGTGGCCACAGCCCAGAAACACAAATTTAGCTTATCCCAAATGCCACATTTCAATACGGCAACAACAGTTTCATGAGTCTTTTACAATTAGAGAATGAGGTATGTTTCAAGTACTTTTGTGGAAACACCACATAGACAGGTTATTGCAATGTGGGGAAATCTCTGCAATATTCCAGTGCTCCGTAATCGTGACATTGCATTCTAGACAGCCTGGTTTTTTAGAACAGGTGAGGCTTTTCTTCTGGGAACTTGATTTCACACAGGAGACTGGAACTGCATTGAAAGCATTCAGTGAGGGGTGCAGCCCTGCCCTGCCAGACACTCCTCGGGCTGCTGCATTCTGCACGATCTAGTTGAGATCTGTCTTCTAAGATGACCAGCCGATGTCTATGAAAACCTTCATGTGAGAGTCGACTCTAATCTGAGTGTTCCCTGACAACCCATATGATAAAAATGGAACTGGCCTACTTACCTGTAAGTTGTAGTGAGAGATCTAACTAGGAACCTGTGGCGCTGACCACACCCCTTTGGGCGTGGTCACAGGTGCGTACAGGAGGGGAGGATTTAGGCTGGCTCTGGGAGACTGCTGGCCAGGTCACAGAAAAGAGCATGGGAGGATCCTTGGAGCTGGAACCGGTGGCAGCCACGCGCCTCTTGTGTGTTTTCTCTCTGAATAAACCTGTACTGGGTCTGGCAAATCTTGATTCCCACGCGTGACAGTAAGTCCCACTTGACTAAGTAAAGACAACTTCTGGAGATGTGAAGACTTCAAATCACACAGTTCCACTTCCCTAAACAACTTTGATTGACCCAACTACACCAGATGTGCTTGCCTTTGTGAGCATTTGGCTCACCTAAGCTGGGGGCACTTTCTGAGAACCCGGATAAGGTCCTGGCTGGTGTCCACCTTCCTGGCCAGTATCAAATAAAGCTTGCTTTAATTGGGTAATTGTGGAGCTGGTCTTTCTCCTCGCTATTCTCAGTTTTAACAGCTCACATCTTGTCCTATTTGGTCCCTGTGTTCTGTGCTGCTCTAATAGGATGCACAAGTCTGAGTCATTTCTGCAGAATAAAAGTTTATTTGTTGGGAAGTCAGGGCACAAGTGTCTGGAGAGGGCAGCTGTCTACTTTAAAGATGGTGGTGTTCTCTGGTGGTAGGGAACTCCTTCCCCACATGGCAGGAGGAAGAGGACAAAGAGGGACTCAATCCTGTAAGTGTTTGGAGCAGATGAGATGGGACAGGTATTCTGGCACTTGGGAGTCACAGAATTCTGAGTGTTACAGCTCAGATGGAAAGGTATCCTGGAGCTCAGGAGCCAAGGAATACCATAGGTCACAGTAAGTGGAGCAGCTTACAGCCCTGCTTCAGGGAAGGCTTCCCTAGCTGGGAAGGTTTTCCCAGTGTATCACCTCTGCTTTGATGGGAGAGGGCTTCCTCAGCTCCAGGGATCAGCTTCCCGATGTAATAGCTCTGCTACGGCCGGAAAGGGCTTCCCCAGCAAAGTTCAGCTCTGCTCCCGGGAGAGTGGAGAGCAGAGTATAACAACTCCACTCTGCCAGGAGAAGGTTTCCCCTGCCAAAGTGTTACTGCCCTGCTCCACTCTGCTCTGCAGGGTCCTCTCTGCTCCACCACAAAAGAAGGTCTTCACCCAAATCTCATCCAAGAGATTTATTGGGAGGGAAGAATCCAGGAGAGTGGCTGCCTCTGCAGGGTGGAAGGAGGCAGCCCGATAGCCACAAGCTGAACAGGCACAGGGTTTATACAGGGATCCTAAAGGGGCGGAGTTTTCCAGGGTGGGGATTGGTCAGATTTCAATCCCTGAGTTTAGGATGGCTACATCTCCTGCTCAGGGATTGGTTAGTTTTCTGCACAGGTGTAGGTCAGACTTGGCTCTGGTTTCAGGGCCAAAGGGTGTTTCTTTCTCTGGTCCTTTGTAGGCTTTTGGATCTAGTTTTAGAGACAGGGTATATTTCTTTCACTGGCTCTGATTCCAGGGACAAAGTGTGTTTCTTTGGCACTGGTTTCAGGGTCAGGGTGCATTTCTTTGGTTCTGGTTGCAGGGCCAAAGTGTGTTTTTTTGGCTCTGCTCAGGGTGTGTTTCTTTGGTTGGCCCTTTCCCCTTACAAATAGCATTTCCGAGAGTGAAAATGTCATGATTCAACTGATTTCTGAAGACCACCCCTCCCAACACTGTTCACTGGGATTAAATTGAATGGGAGCACAAAACGAGTGCTCATCCCTGCTGCCTCCTTTTCCCCTACTCCTCCCACTCCGTGTCCAAGGAAGAAGCTGGTGTTTGCCAGCTGCGTTTGATGGGGTGTGAGCTTTGGAGAACCTCCCTCAGGGGAGGAGGCATTTTAGCATCTTCGTTAGTGACCAAACATAGTTATGAGTGTTCTGCTCCTCAGATCAGTGGTGACAGAGTGGCAGTCAGCTGTGCAGAGCTCATGGAGTTGCTGTGGATTTCCCAGGACAGAAGACAGAAGAATAAAAGGCGATGATGGCACAGGGACGGAAGGCAGAGGTGGGAACCCAGGGGAAGAGCCAGGTGCATCCCCTTGTTTTACACTAATTGACTTTCTCCTTTAAAAAAAAAGTCAGTTTTTAGGATCAGGGCATGAGATTCATTGCGTGAAGACCTTAGGTTGGTTGCTAGGCTTTGTGAAAAGCACCCTTACCTGCTGAACCATTTCCCCAGCTCCAGGGGTGTCTTTCAATGCCTTTATTACTTCAACCTCATTTGAATTTTCTTCTATTTTCCAGTTGTTAAATTTTACCCACTCGTTTACTTAAATGGTCACCAAGTGTTGAGGTTATAGTTAAGAACAAAATGTGGACCTGTCCTCAGAGTTACTATCAAAGACATTCGATAAGCTTTCCCCAGGTGACCTTTCCTACTTCCTGGAATGTGTCCAGTGACCAGTAAGTAAGTGCTCTGTCATGCTGAATTTTCATGCTAGTTGTCTGACTTCCTTGTCTTTCTCTTCCCATAAGTCAGTATCTTTTGTGAGAGGACGCTGTGTAGAGCGGGTGGGTTCTCTCTCTTCACTCTGTGGGCTCTGGGCCTTGAACTCAGGTCGTCAGCCTTGACCACAAGCTCCTTTAGCTGTTGAGCCATCTTACTACTCCAGTTCCACTTCATTTATACACTGGAAAGCCACCCACAAGGCTCCAGGAGTTGAAAGCGAGGGAGCAGTTCCTTGGGTGACTCTGAGAGTCAACCAAGAGAGTACAGGGCAGTTACAGGCACTGGGTGGCTGCATTCTTCACTTATAAAGGAAGAAATATATCTGTTAAGGACTGAAATACAGTGTGGCAAGGCCTGTTGCACTGTACCCTGATCCAATGGGG